TTTAATAGATTCTGACAAGGACCCTAAATGTAATTTAAAAAGAATTTTATAAGAAAAAATATGATATATCTTAAAAATAATTTAAAAAATAGATATACAAGACAATATCATGTATGGAGAATTGAGATAATCTTATTAAAATTAAAAGAAAATTAATTGAGATACCACTAAACTTTGTTTATTGATTTGTTTATATCATTAAATATTCAATTTTGTCAATTATAATACTGAACTTTACTTTTACATTCAATTATACAATTCTACTATCAAATTATTAATAGGACGATGACATGACTAACAATTGTTGACGAGGAATACAACACAAAAATAACAATTTAAAGATCAAACTTAAAAATTTTATTTTGAAAGAATGTAAATTAAATAAATTGTTTTTAAAAGAATTAATATATAAAATTCATCAAAATAACATAAATAAAAAATAAATTTATAAAATGATAATATATAATTAGTTTATCTTTTTGCAATTGTAGCAAACAGCGATGTTAAGTCCACGTGCACCAATTGTGCAGGAAGCAGACAAGTTTGTATTAGAAGAGGGTTTAAAGCATTTCCCTACACGGAAACATTGTACCCATTGAGACATCAATGCTAAAACATGTGCCTGCATTTATTGGATCCAACAATTTACATGCTACTCTCGTACACTGTTTTATTACCATGCACGCATGCACCAATATTTTTTGGGTGAATTTGTATTTGGCATAATGACAAAAACAGCCCTAATATTTATTAAAATGATCATTTTAGCACATATTCTTTTTTCCTTGAACATTTTGGCTTCTAACATTTTACCTTGGGGTAAAAAGCTCCCTCTATAGATGAAAACTATTACATAACACACGATTAATGCTCTAAAATAATAGCATTTTTTAACCTAAATTGAAACGTTGAGAGCTAAAATGACCCATAAAAAATAAGGGACAATCTGATTATTCTGTCAAATGTTAGGGCCATTTTTCTCTAATATGAAACTTCGGAGGCCAAAATGCTCCAAAAAATAAAATATAAGACAAAATGATAATTTTAATAAACGTTAGGGGCTAATTTTAACATTACGTGTCTTTATATTTCTTATTCCAAACTCAATCACAGTAACATCATCAGCCTATATGAAACCTCCAGACCACTAAATATCAATCAAACCGCCTCCTTGATTTGATCAACCAAGCTACCCACAGATAAAAAAACATCTTTGAAATATAAAGATAAATGATCTCCCTCTTAACTTCAGATATGCCTAAAGCAGCTCATCACCCCAATCAAGAACGAATCTAAAATGTTGGTATAAACTTGGAACACCAATATTAGTTTTAAAATATATATAATTTCAAATATAATAAATATTTTAAGAATTTGATTGTAATATTTCATATGTATCCTCCATTTTTATCATACCTATAGAGTTTTACCTAAATTAAAAGAATATGCAATAATTTATTTGATATAAACAATTTAACTGTTAAATGTATAATCAATAAGAATAATAATATTTTTAAATTATAACTAATATAATAGAAACACCATATTACCGTAAAAATTTACATATATAATAATTAAGTACAAACATATCTAAATTTTACTATAAAGATTATAAATTATTTTATTACAATTTAGGTTAAATTTAAACTCAATAGACATATTTATTTAAATATCATATAACATATTTGAATTATCATAAACCTTATATTATTGATCAAAACTCTAAATCATAAACGTGACATATTACATATGTTATACCTCTGAAGATAAACTTCGAAAATTATCATTTTTCTGCCAACATAGACTTTTAGACTAATCTTTCCACTCACTAAAGTTTCTACGGAACCCACGTCCTACGAGCACTAACTTCTGAGTCAACCACATCATGCAAACAAGACTAGAGTGATATTCAAAATGTGACTACCAGTCTATCAAGTCTATTTTGTCCGTTAAGTTGCAGATAATTTTAATCACCAGCAGTTAAGAGTAATAAAGGGACGAATGTTTAACAATATATATATATATATATATATATATATATATATATATATATATTGTTTTCTTCTTTATAATCAATTTTATTCCGTAGAAAACATCAGTCAATAATTAACGGAATAAACTTATGTCTGTCAACAACGTTAACACAATTCCGTTTTGTAGAATACTTCTTCACTGTTAATAATTTTAAAAAATTAAACTTAAAACTTTAAATGAGTCACGATTTTGTTTGAATAAAAATATTTTTATTACTAAATCACGGACTTGATTGACTAATTGATAATTTTTTAATTTATCTTAATGTGTCACTTTATATATATAATATTTCTTTGTCTTTTACTTTTTTTCCCCAATAATAACCCCTGGTGTAATGATTTGATTAATCTACTCATAAAGTAGTGGGTTAATTATGGCAACAGCTTTCATTAATTTGGGATTAGAATTTGTTGAGCTTTTATATTAATGCATAACGACAAAACTAATAAAAACTTTAATCAAACATTAAAAAACTAAGGGTAAACTACACAAATGGTCACTAATGTTTGAGCAAATTTTCGTTTTTCACATTGGAGTTTTAAAACTAACAAATTGATCACTAACGTTATCGATCGATAACAAATGAGTAAGTCAACGTTAACATCCGCTAAAATACCGTTACTTGTTTACTTGGCATCGTTAATGAGTATCCTTCTCAAAATCAAGTCAAACTCATGGTCAAACATCTCAACAACAACAATTGATCTTCATTGTTAACGAAGGTCCTTCACTTCGCAAAAAAATCAAAGGAAAATCATGAATTACTCGCTAGAATTGATTAATTTTTCATCAAGGTGTTTGATTTCATGAGGAATGAGGAATCCCAAATTAAAATAGTCGAAAAAGTTTTAAGATTTTGGATATATTGTCAAGTAACATTTTTTTTAAGGATCCATCGGTGGAAACGAATTGCTTGTCGACGATTCTTCTGGTTTTACAAAGAGAGAATTCATATTCACAAATTCCAACGATTCAAATACTAGAGTCTGCAGCGGTCGATGGAGAACCCAAGCTCAAAAAGAGGGATTGATCCCCGAATTGGTGAAATCTCTAAAGGGAAAGAAGAACCCAAGATTGATCGAAGCGAGCTTATCTGGTTTGATCACAATCACAATGCTGAAACGCGTAGAAATCAAACTAATTTAACACCAAACAAACCCATAAATAAAGAACCTTTTATCCTAACCAAAAATCATCATTTCGATAACCGAAAAGTCACTGAAGCTATTGGAAGTGTTGTCGACATGCAAAAAAGAAAGATCTTTTCGAGATGTGGCAGAATTCGATGTTTTACAAAGGGTTGTTGGGAAACTAATGAAAGTATCAAGCAATGCAACAGTGCACGCGGTGGCCAAGGATTACAAGGGACTGGTCGGGGAGTTTGTTGAAGTTGGTATGTTCGAAAATAAAGGGCATGTTGCTCTTTTCTCACTTACATTTGTAGATCTAATGTTTCTCGTTTTTCTTTATGGTGTTTTGAGATGCCATAGCGTGTGGGCACATGGAATGGGTTTCCAGCGTGGCGGTTGACGTTGTCAGGTAAGCGGTTAACGGCCAGGTAAGCTTTTCGTCGCTAATTTTAACGAATGTTAACGTTGACGGATTGATTTTTTATAAATCGATAATATTAATGATCAATTTGTTAATTTTGAAACTTTAGTAGGAAAAACAAAAATCTACTAAAAAAATTAATGATTATTTGTGTAGTTTATCCAAAACTTATTTGGATTTATATTTATGTTTACGCGTCGATAATTCTTATATATATATATATTAAATCATGCCGAGACTAGTACGAGATATTTTGTTTTAGTAAGGTGTCGGTAATTTGAAGATATTTTGTAACAAGATATTTTTGTTACTTTCAAAGAAAATCACCAAATTTAAAAAAATAAACCAAATATACAAAATAAAATAGTTCGAGACAATTTAATTTATATTTGAAGAAGCTTTTATTACTAATTGCACTTTTAATATTATTTTAATATACTGATTAATTTATATATATATTACTAGATTTTTAAAAAAATAAGAAAAATTTAAAATTTAAAACATAGATTTTTTTATTAACTATTTAGGAGAATAGACAAATTAATAATATTAAACGCATATTTATGTATTTTAATTTGTAATGATCGAAAAGATTTATGCAAATATTCATTAAATGATTTTAATAATAAAAGAAAGTAATATTTTATAAAAAAATTATAAATTTGAGCAGTTGTATTTAATATATATAAATTTCATTAATCTACAAATCTGATTAAAGAGGGAGAGAGAGAAACTATATTGATCAAATCCAATCATACAATTAAAGGTGAATGGACTAAAATAAATAAAAGAAAATTAAAAAAAGAAAAAGAAAAAGAAAATGAAGGGTTCCTTTGTCCAAAAGTAGGGTCACTCAATAACACCCACCACTTATCTCTATGGTGCCAACTAAACATTAATATATGAAAAAAAATGTAAAGTCTCTTCTTTATTCTAATTTCATCTTGTTCTTAATTAAAATAATAAATATTATTGAAACTCGTGTAATTATGAAACATGTAGGAGAAAATAGAAGAAAAAGTCCATCTGTTTGTTGTCAGTGAGAGAACATTGGTTTGTGAAAAATGAACAGAAAAACTGGGTTCCACTTGCTGACACCAACACCTGGAAACTCGTAACCTTCTCTTTTTCTCTTTCCCATTTCTCTGAAAAATCTTAATCATTGATGCAGTAAAAACCTTGACATTCATGCCACAGATTTTACAGAAATTCGAAGGAAAATAAAAAGGGTTTTTAAGACAGGAAACCAAAGACATGCGGGGGGGGGGGGGGGAATAAAAGAATGTTTGGGAACACAAGTCTAAATTTACTGGAAGTTGTTTTTAACTAAATTGATTCAAACTCCAAAGATGTAAGAATTACAGGGGGAGAAATGGGGAAAACAGTCGATGAAATGAAATTAATACGGTGTAAACAAAATGAACGTGAGAAATATTTAGCAAAACAAGCCAAGAACAATGTTAATATTGTCTGTCTCTTGTTCTTTTTCTCAAACCCTAATCTCATATTGATCTCACACAAAAATTAATTAATTTCTTGTTTTTTTATCAGTATAGTAAAAACTCGATTCTTGTTTTTTTTTTTTAAAGAAAAGCAATCAAACCTCACGTGCGTTACACATCAAACTAACACAACTGATCGAAATTCGAATGAAGCAAGGATGATGAATGGTGGTGTAGCACGTTGTTATTCATCACCGCCGCCGCCGTCTCCACCGTGCTGTGAATGTGACCCGCTCAATTGAGATTCCGATATGCCGTTGCCGCCGGAGACTTGCCTATAAGGATTCAATCCGGCTAACATATTTAAATGCCCTTCACTTATGCCACTACTTCCACCGCTGCCCGAACCCAATTGTTGGCCCGGCAACAAGGCCATCGGAGTTGGAAAATTCATGACATGTAACCCACTGGACATAGTTCCCCTATACAAACCACTGTTGTTAACCGAAGGAAATGTCCATATGGGATCACCGCCACCACTCATGACTTGATTACTGGGATTAGTTAACATCCAAAAGTTAGCCGGAACCTGTGTGTGGGTCGCCGGGATCGCCCCGGTGCTCGACTGCAACAAGTAACTCCCCATTTGATGTTGCGAAGATAAATCGTGTTCGGGTCTTCTTTTCCTTCCTATACTGCCTTCTTCGGCTTCGGATATTTCCATGGAAGACTCTTGCTTAGCTTGGAACATTGGATTCAAATTACTACTCGATTGGAAGTTAAGGAACGTCGTGGACGGTGTCGTTTCGAGTCCGATTCCGGGAAACAAGCTTCGACGTTGTTGCATCGAGAAGTTAGAGTTGAAACCCGAGGACCGAAGCTGAGAAGGGATCGACATACTCGAACCAGAGCTACGGAGCGAGATGTTGAGGGAAGTGAAGTTCGCTGGGATGGTGCCGGTTCCCGTGGCGGCAATCACGGCTGGTTCGGCTTGTTGGAGCAGCCACTCGATCGTTTCGCCATCGGATTTGTGGCCCAGCTCACGAGTGAGTTGAAAAACCCTAGCTGCACAAAGAGCCGGCATGCGGATCCTACGACCACGTCCATCTACCTTGGTGTGACGGTCTTTGGTTGAAGTACGCTTAGGTGGTGGGATTTTGGAAGGCTCCGCCGAGATCTGGTGGCTCGAAGCGGAACGAGTTGCGGTGGTGAGTTGATCAGCTGAGGAGGAGGGAATTGGTAGGGAAGGGAAAGGAAGGGTGGTGGAAGAGGTGGAACAAGGCTGGTTATCTTCTTCTTTCTTCTCGAGTAATTGGAATGGGAAAGTAGGACGGTGGTGGTGGTGGTGATCATCACTTCCTCCTCCTTCCATGATAGCATGAAAGTAATAGGTTGTTTCTCCAATGGTGATGAATTATGAGTGATGGAGGTGTATTTAGATCCAACCTTTTACTTTCTGTATTATATTGAATGTTTAAATGAGTCTTTTAGGGTTTTGTTTTCATAAAATAAAATCATTTTCTTAAAATATTAATAAAATCATTTTTATATTTGAATTATAATTCTATTGATATAATTATTATTTTAATATTATTATTTGTGTATGTTTAAGGATCAATAAATATATATATTAAGAGAGGAGGGCAAGCTTTAAGGAACAAAGGTCCTGAGTGGGAATTATATGGGTTAGCTTTAAAAACAATTAATTTTTTATTTCTATAATTTAGAAGAAAAAATATTTATAAAGACAAATAATAAATTTAGTAGTTGTGATGGATCGAGAGGTATTAGGGTTGAGATCACACTCCCTAAAAAATTTAAATTTCTTTATATTTTAAGTTTTTTTCTTGTATTTTATATAAATTATTTAATTTCGCATCATTTTAAATTTTATAATTTCCCACCCTTAAATTTTTAATATAATTTCTTAAGTTTACACATCAACATAAATTCTTATGTCCGTTCCCAATTTGAATCAAATCGTATTTGTTAATTTTAAAATAAATAGTCATTAAAACATTTAATTAATGATATAGACTATAATTTGATCTAAAGTTCATTTATATATTAATATATTTTTTGTTTATTTTAACATTGAAAATCAGGGACGGGGTTAGTGTATCATAGAAGGTGTTATGTTTTTTTAAATTGAGTTTAACTATTTTTAAATTCCTATTAATTTTAATATTAGATAAATTAAAATTTTATTCTTCTATCTGTTTTGAATTTAATTTCGTTTTAGGTCCTTTCAGTTTTGAAATTATATGAATTGGATCTTAATCCTTCATTTTTTTGTACAATTATTTTTTAGGATTTCATAGTTATGAAATTAGGTAAATTAAACTTTATCCTACCTTTTCGGTTTAAATATTTATAGGTCCATTTCAATTTTAAAATTAAATAAATAAGATACTGTAACATCCTCAATATCGGGTTAGTGACTAAATTGGAAAATTTCAGATTTTGGTGATTTAAAATAGAATGAATGAATAGTATAAAGATTTATATGTAAATTATTGTGTAGGATTTAATTGAAAGGAAGAAGGAATGGAAGGGCCAAAGAATCATTTGCAAGGAAAATTAATTAAAGAAGGGATAAGGATATATATGAGTACAAGTGGGTTGAAAATGAGAGAACAACAAAGGCTTCCAGAGTTCTCTTCTTCTTCTTCTTTCTTCCTTGTGCGTGTGAACCAAAGCAAAGGTAAGATTTCTGATTATTGAGTTTCTTGTTAAATTTAATATTGGGTTTTGATTATTGGATGATAACTAAGCTTAAGGAAAGCTTAAGTTATCTTAACATCAAAGGATGATTGAGTTAGGAGAGATTTAAGATTTGAAGTTCTTAAATGAAATCTTGGAATAGAGTTCATAACTAGAATTGAAAGTTATATTTGACTTGTCATCAATCTATTTAAGATATACGAAGTGTTAAAGCGGAATTCAAACATGTTGATTTATTAATGTAATTCTTGAATTACATATGAAGGATAGGATTTGAAGGTTTAAGATGAAATAAATGAGTATAAATTGGTTTAAGGATGTGTACTAGAGTTAAGAATGAAAAAGAGGATTAAACATGAAGGATTTAATCCAAAATGAATGAATTTTCGGGTTCAAAAAGAGGATTTTGGGCAGAGTGCATCGATGCACATTCATAGTGCATCGATGCATCAAGGTTAAAACTCAGAAATTGTTTGAAGGTGTATTGATGCATTGGTAGTGCATCGATGCACTCTTTCAAAATAAAAACATCGAATGCAATTCATGCATCGATGCATAAGTAGTGCATCGATGCATCCCATTAATAATAGAACATCGAATACCTTTTATGCACCGATGCATCAGTAGTGCATCGATGCATACCTTCATTAAAAGATGAAATTTACTTTTCTTTTAGTCTAAAGAATGAACCATTAGAATATATTAGTTATAATACTGATATAGATCCATGTGCGATTATGTAGATACTAAAAGTAAGCTTATTCAGGAACGATCAAAGGGTTAGAATCGAATCAAAGCAAAGCTAAGGTGAGTGCATACTATATGTATATTATAATGGAATAAGACTTGTGATAAGTCTAATCCCTAAGTTGATTTTTATAATATAGTAGTGGTGAACATGCATATATGATAATTATTGTGATACATGCATAAGACATATATATGTTCATGTGATATGATATGTGATATGACATGTGATATTAGAACATGATATGAAGTGATATGAGATACATGATCACAAGAGAAATGATATGAGTACATGAACATATGAAATATAATAATAATGCCCATAGTATACGATATGAGAACTATAGGTGTAATTGGCATGCCAAGAGTCGAGGGTATAATAGTCATTCGGGATGTAGTCATTCGGGATGTAGGGGTCCTACGGGACATAGATAATAGTTATACGGGACGAATACTGAACTAAGGTTCGGTGCCCCATGAGGGAATTGATACGAGTTGTGGTGATAGCATTAGTGCACAACCTCAATGTACTCACATACCTCTATTCTCAATAATATACATGGGCTATGTAATTGAAATACCGATTTACAGTGAAAGTGATACAAGAAGGTAAGTTTCGTATGTGCATTATATGTTATCGTACGATAGATACATGCATATTGAAATGTCATGATCCAATTGTAAGTATGAACATTCATAAGTTTATTGTTGCATATTCATTTATTACCTCACTAAGTCTATGACTTAGCGTGTAAGTGATTTACACGTAGGTACCAAGAATCAGGAAAAGTGGAAATAGAAGTAGCACGGACAACAATACTACTAAGAGATCAGATCAGAAGTAATTGACAAAGTATGTACTTAGTTATGTATAGAATGTTGGCATGTAATAAGTGTTAGTTACGAATACTTTGATCGATTTGGTATTTTATGGTCTTATGTAAATTAATGTATTTCGTTTTAATGAATTTATCGTGATGCCGTTTGGAGTTACGAATGCACCAGCTGCTTTTATGGATTTAATGAACAGAATTTTCCAACCGTATTTGGATCAGTTTGCTGTGGTGTTTATTGATGATATTTTAATATATTCAAAGTCAGAAGAAGAACATAGTTCACACTTACAGATTGTTTTAAAGATTTTACGAGACAAGAAGCTTTATGCTAAATTTTCTAAATGTGAATTTTGGTTGAATGAAGTGGCATTCCTTGGACATGTAATTTCTGAAGAAGGAGTTCGAGTGGATCCCCCAAAGATTAAAGCTATTATGGAGTGGGACGTTCCAAAGAATGTATCAGAAATTAGAAGTTTTCTGGGGTTAGCTGATTATTATCGAAGGATTGTTAAAAACTTTTCGATTATAGCATTACCCATGACTAAACTGTTGAAAAATGAAGTAAAATTTGTTTGGACTCAAGAATGTCAAGAGAGTTTTGAAAAGTTAAAGAAGATTCTTACAGAAGCTCCAGTGTTAGTTCAACCCGAGTCTGGAAAGAACTTTATAGTGTATAGTGATGCATCTCATAGTGGTTTGGGATGTGTATTAATGCAAGAAGGCAAAGTAGTAGCATATGCTTCGAGACAACTAAAACCGCACGAGAAAAATTATCCAACACACGACCTAGAGATGGCGGCAGTAGTGTTTCCTCTAAAGATCTGGCGTCACTACTTGTATGGTGAAAAGTGCTACTTGTATACGAATCATAAGAGCTTAAAATACCTGATGAATCAGAAAGAGTTGAATTTAAGACAAAGAATATGGGTGGAATTTCTCAAGGATTATGATGTGATGATTGATTTCCATCCTGGAAAGGCAAATGTGGTAGCTGATGCCTTGAGTCGAAAGACGTTTGCAGCTTTGCGAACTCTTGATGCTAGATTATCGTTAAGAGAAGATGGTGCAATTTGTGCTGAACTGACAGTCAAGCCCGTATGGCTAAATCGAATTAAAGAATTGCAAGTTAAAGATGAAAAGTGTTTAAAGAGGATACAACAGATAAAGAATAGAGAGGGTACGAATTATGAGATTAAGTCTGATGAGAACCTGTATTATCAAGAAAGATTAGTAATTCCAGATGATGATGAATTAAAGAATGATTTGTTAACAGAAGCTCATTGTAGTCCATTGACAATACATTCGGGAGGGAACAAAATGTATATGGATCTCAAGAGTCGATATTGGTGGCCGGGAATGAAGAAAGACATTACGGAATTTGTATCAAAGTGTTTGACTTGTCAACAAGTCAAAGCTGAACATCAAGTTCCGTCAGGATTGTTACAACCGATTTCAATTCCTCAATGGAAATGGGAAAACATAACGATGGATTTTGTGACGGGTTTGCCTTTAAATCCGAACAAAAAGGATTCAATCTGGGTAATCGTGGATAGATTGACTAAGTCAGCCCATTTTATTACAGTACGAACTGATTTCTCCATGGATAGGTATGCTGAGTTATATATTAGAGAGATTATACAGTTGTATGGTGTACCTATTTCCATAGTTTCTGATCGGGATCCTAGATTCACATCACGGTTTTGGAAGTCATTATATAGAGCATTGGGAACTCGGTTAAACTTCAGTACAACGTTTCATCCTCGAACCGATGATCAATCCGAGCGAACTATTCAAATTCTGGAGGATATGCTAAGAGCTTGTGTTATTGAATTCAAAGGATCGTGGGAAAGGTATTTACCACTTGCTGAATTTGCATACAACAATAGTTATCAATCAAGCATCAAAATGGCTCCCTATGAAGCTTTATACGGAAGAAGATGTTGTACGCCCTTGAACTGGTATTAACTTAAGGATCGAGAAGTTATTGGTCCTGAGTTGATTCAGAATACGGAAGAGAAAGTTCAAGTAATTCAGAATAATCTGAAAGCTGTAGCTGATAGACATAAATCATATGCTGATTTAAAAAGGAAAGAAATTGAATTTCAAGTCGGAGATAAAGTGTTCTTGAAAGTGTCTCTGTGGAATAAAATATTGAGGTTTGGACGTAAAG